TCTGTGTGTGTGTGTGTGTGTGTGTGTGTGTGTGTGTGTGTGTACACGCACATACGTGTGAGCCCATGTGGTTTTGCATTTGTGCATGTGCGCACATGCCCATATGTGCATATCAGCATATATTTGTGAGTGTGTTTATGTGTGCACATTGTGTTTGTATGTGTTTATTTGCCAGAGTTTGTACACATTTAATTGTATTTTCCTGTTTCAGTATGTGTTTACGCCGGCACCCTTTATGTGACAACCCCTATCTGTTTTCCCGTCGTCTTTTTGTGTGTGTGTGCATTTATATGTGTGTGTATGTGTGTGCCTGCGTGTTTGTGTAGTCTATATGTTGGCCATCTTATCTCCCCATTAGCCTCTTGTGCCCTGACCAGTATTCCCTCTCTCCCCTTCCTGCTTTCTCTAATGGGTAATTTAGCCATGCTTGCCTGACATCTAGCCTATTCCTTGTTTAGTTGCCATGGCTACGCAGGCCTATGGATTGCTCCCTTGCTCCCCTGGCCTTGCTGTGGATGCTATAGATGTCTCAACTATTAGAGGGCAGAACTGCTTAACACAGAGCACACACATCCCCTCACACATGCACACACCGTGTGGACTACACAGACAATTAAGCACCCTGGCATGAATATAGATTAATCTCTTTGCAGAATAGAATCTCTGACTCAGATAATCGTGAAGGTGATAGCATTTTGAGGACAGGTTAACAACATAGTAAATGCAGGTTTTATGTTTTTGTTGTTTCATCATTTGACCAGAACAATCCTCTCAGTTAGAAGCTCAAGATATAATAAGTGATTAGATTTTTTATGAAATAATCAGACACAGTGGAAGAAATCATGTCTGTTAATAGCAGGTCATGTTTTACACCTCGGTTAACCACATTGTACTGGCCCAAGCATAATTGTTCTGCAAGATAATAAGAGAATATTATAAATTTCAGTGGTCTCTTTTGATTTTTCTTTATTGTCCTCTTAGGTAACTGTTACTATTATAGTTTTTTTTACTGTGCCTTATTTATTTATTTTTTTATAAAGTTTTCTTTATTTCCCTGTTATAACAGATCTGGGATGGCTGGAGGCAGCTTCCTGCTGACAGATAAAGCCCTTTTGTACGTCCTAAAAAGAAATCAGAACTCCAATCCTCAACCCAGACACCTACAGAGGCCAAGCTAGATGAGTCAGTGTAGAAGCATAAGTGTGTGCTCACTGTGTGTGTGTGTACGTGTGTGCAAAGATTTGTGTGGTATTGATTTGTGTTTTCATTTTCTTAGTGGAATATTTTAAATGCATTTGAAAAGTTTGCACTCCTCTGCCTCACAAGAAACTTATCGTACCCTGTCATCAGTTTTGTAAGGTCATCGTATTAGTTGCGGTGCCATATGCTCGAGCTGCTTTCTACAAAAGTTACACAACAGTAGCACATGGAGGAATGGGGGTTGCGGGTGGGCAGGGAAAACAGTAGATCTGGATTTGGTCTCTCTTCCTCATGTATTTTGCAGGACTTGCAAGTTGGAGGTGGAGGGTTGTAGCGAGGGGCTTCAGGGTCAAAACAAACAAACGTGCTTGAAGTTTCATGCTTTTGCAGAAGATATTGTTGTCTTTGAAGTCTTCACTATCGAGAGCAAAGGAGAGAGGGAGAGGCAAACGGGTATAGAGAGAGTTAGGATAGGGAGAGCAGCGAGGGAAGGAGAACGAGTTATAGAAGTGTGAAGCCCTTGAGTTGAAACTGTGCCTGCCTGGGCCTACAGAGAGCAGATGACAGTAGCTTTGGTTTCTTTTGCGGAGCTCACAGTACTTTTGCCTTACATAACCCCTCCCATTGTGCTTTTTCAATTATTTGGGGAGAAATCTTAAGTATGCACTTTAAAAGTTAATGCTTTCATGTGTTCTGAAGTAGGGGGAAGAGAGGGGGCGCCTCACAGATCACACATAAAGGAGACGGCTCTGACAAGTTTTCAGAATATCGACAATTATAATATTCTATAAGGTATATCAGCGGAGTTTAACTGTGTGCAGCAGTGTTTTGGGAAAGAGACTGAGGAGATAGACGTGGAGAGAAACATATAGCATTGTAAGAGCAGATACAAGCAGTGCATACTCAGACATTCTTATTTTTTACCCCTCCCCCCATCCCAGATTCCCCTTAAGGTGCCCCTTACCCCCCTTCTCCCCTCTCTTGCTTCTCTGTGAGGTTAAAGCGCACCTTCCCACTAAAGGGCTCTGGGGTCACGCATCTGCATGTGAAATGTGAACCCGCTGACATTCCAGGGCAGCCCTAAGCCGTGCAGTCCTTTTGTTCACTAGGGTGCCAGTGTCAGGCCTAACAAGCCCGGCAAGGGTCTCTGAGAGAGAAGAGAAAGACAGGGAGAGAGGGTGGTGTGTTATTGATGCCCTATGCAACCATCCATTTTCACAAATGCCAAAGTAGGAGAAAAGAAAAGTTTCGTTGCTGGAAATGGTAACAAGCACTTTCTTACCGAGCAACCCCCCGAATTTTACCATGGGCTGGCTGTGACATTAAATGATGTTGCTTTGGGTATGTTAGAATGGTAACATACGGAGGGGTGAGGGGGTCTATATATTGAATAAGGTCATGGCAACCATGAAAAAACAGTCAGGTTTCCTTGACAACAGGGCAGACGTTAGTGACTGCGAGAACAGAGTTGGCACCAGATTTGTTTGTATTCAACTTGGTCTAAGGAAGGAAACTAAATTTATAATCTTGTATGCCGTTACCAAAGTGGTTTGCCCTCTGATTTTTGAATCCTCAAAACTTGATCAAACCTGGTGTGTTTAACCTATAACAGAGGGCTTTCAGGCAGACCTCAGTGGACATGCAAGCTCTTTTAAATCAGGCAGCACACAGAGGTGCTATGGCAGGGCTGGGGTCCTTTCAGCCTCTGAATTAAGTTCTGAGGCACAAAGGGCAGCTATTCACCAGGCAGTGATGGACTTCACACTAGCCTTTATGTCCTCACTGGCAGGCAGAGAGAGAGGGAGACAGAGGGAGAGAGAAGTTGCGAGGAATAAGTGGAAAACAGAGTGATTGCTCAGGATGTGGTGGTATGGATTAATCAACATTTAAGAGCAGGAAGTATTAATTAAGTTGATGCACACAGGTGTTCTTAGACATGCTTTTATTGTTTTGTGGGTGATAGTATTTTGCCTTTATTCCAAAAAAGACTACTGACTAAGATGTTTACATGGCTAATGAAAATGAATATTCCACCAATATTGCCATGTACATGCAGCCATGCATGCTCACATTAACATTAAGTACCAATATGAAGTAATAACTGCTTCATAAGTACTTAAAGTCTTTCAGAATATTTAAAAGTAGGTGTGTACCTCTTTCTGACCAGATATATGGGCTTGCAAACTGTTGGCTAATGTTAGCTGGTTTGTGTACAACACACAGAGTTGACCGTAAACAGACAAGAGGCCGTGTGTCGCAAACTGCGGTAAAAACCCCAATTGAGACACATATTTTGAATGCCCTGTATATATATCCAAAGAAACCCGAATAATATCAGCATATTCCACACGTCTTAATCTGAAAATGCTACATTCAGAATAAGGTCTAATGCAGAATATCCAAACATGCTGTTTACATGACCTGTATCAAATACGAAATATTGTCATATTCAGAATAATAGTGAAGTATTAGTGGTCATATAAATGTAATATATAATGTAGTATTGCATGTAATGGCTGACTGAAAAACGTAAGCACTAGACAGACTATTATTCAACAGGTGTCAGTATGTCAGCAGGTGTTCCAAAGCATACTGTAGAAAAACTCATCTCCGAGCAGTAAGAAAAATATGACTAACATGTCTGAAGTGTCCACAACAAAAATCTGCATTCATCTGCTTCGGGGAATTCATGTTAAAAGATGTAGCATGAAGGATTTTCCTTGTTCTGATATAATCCCTTTCAGTCATCACTTCTTTTCTTCTTGTTTTCTCCTTTGGGATGTTTATGACTGTGTACCCCAACAGCGCTCAGGCAAGGTTGGGGCTTTTTTCAAAGGGAGTGACAAGGTGCCAGACCATAAGCGGCAGAAATCCAAGAGACACAGCGCTGAAATACACAAACATGGCGTGGCAAAACGCAAAACGAGGGTCGATCTATTGTTGGCTTTTGCTTTCAATGGCAAGCTGACAATCCTGCACAGCATACTTTTAGGTTTATAAACCCGATAAGGTTCTGTTACCTGTTGATATGACACTTGACACTTTTGAGGATTTAACCGTCTTAATGCTGATATAGGTCTTAAAGAAATGCATCGCCCCTTGTGAGGTATTAATGAGTCCAAACGTCCATACATGCTCTTGCCAAATGTCTCAGAGGTCACACCCACACACTTACACACACATATGATACGACACAAACATGCACAGCCGTTTTTCATCGTACACTTTTACTTACTCTAACATATTGTAAGCGGGGCCTTACACTCTCATCCCACATTCCTTCCCCTGGGGATCCCGGTGCTGTGTGAGTGATTCAGTTAGCGCTACTGCATTAGAGCTGTCCATCCATCCGGTCTGCTTTTCCAAACACATCCATCCCAGTCCTAGTTAAAACACTGGGGGATCTCCTCCACTCCACCTCCACCCCCCCCAAAGTCTTTTATGATGTCCATAAAATGGAAGAGTGCAGCTTTACTTGAACTAATAATATCTGAGCTTACAGGGCCGTGATTGATGATCTTTAAAGCCAGCCCGATCGGTCTCATCTTTCTTCAGATTTTTATCACTGACTTGTTTGCAGTCATGTGCAATCACAGGCACCAGGAGAGGTAACAAGTGCTTGATGTATGATGCTTGAGCCACTTTTGTCAGCTGCGCATTTCCCTTCTCTCCCTCCACTTTTGTTTTTTCTTTCTTTTTCTTTTCTATTTTAACCCCAGGCTTCTATTTGTTGCCTCTTGAATTGTTTGCAGACTGTTGGTTTTACTGTGTTCTCTCTCTTTCTTTCTTTTTTTTTTCAGATGGTGGGAATGTCTTCTCCTGGGGGATGGGGCAAGAGGTGAGCCAAACATTTTTCCACTTTTGGCCCTGCCAGGAGAGGCAGACTTAGAACAACACTGGACTCCAGGCTTTTTCATATCACACAAGTGTTCTCTCTCTTTCTATGTTTCACTCTCTCTCACACACACACACACAACATCTTCCATTTTTGAGATATTTTGAGATTTTTTTTTTTTTTTCTGGAGCGGAGATTAAAAGGTTTTGGGGGGGAGATCTGTGTCCGAGCCCTCCCTTCGAGCACTTAATATCCTTCATGGTGTGCCAAGAACGCACATCTTTTTAAATTCTATAAATCACCTTTATGGGATCTGCTGTTTGTCCATTTCAACTCCTCTGCTTCACATGGACAGAGCAGGAAATCCTCTTTGTGGAATCTACTGTAGTTTATATGTGCATACCCCTTTGGATGTGCACAGCCAAAAGAATGTGCATATGAGGCTGTGTGTGTGTGTGTGTTTGTTGGCCCTGTTCTGTCTCTCCTCCTCTGTTAGATAAAGAATCCCACCTGTCACCGAGGATTGTTCTGGCCTTTCATTTAAGATGCTCTTTAAAGAGCCGCATCATTACACAGCCCTCAGACAGAGCCCGGAGAGTGTAAAACCTAGGCCCACCTCAATCCCTCTGTTCCCCTCTCTCTCTTTTTCCTCCAGGCTTTGGTGTTTATCTGCGAGGTTGTCTGAAACCACGGCCAAAATGTGATCACTTTTACAACATGACAGTGGCGATGACGCTTTGCCAGGACAGTGAAACAAACATGTAGGTGAAGGTTAGAGAGACAGGGGGAGCAATGAAAATGTTAGACATCAGTTGTTATGAGCTTTGACGTGGCCTTGGCTTCCACACTGCGCTCTCACATTGCAGGGTGGCTTGTTGTCTAACTAGACTCATTGGATTTTCATAGGCGCTCTTGCATCTATATAACTCTATGTTAGTCTCCGCAAGGGCACAGTCTCTTTCTCTCTCTCTCCCCTCATCATGTTCTCCCTTTCCCCTCTTCCTCCATCTCTCCTATCTTCCTGCCCTCTCTCTCTCCTCTGTCTTGGAGCCGTTCTGATGATTGATTGTTTCTCTGTGCAGTCTGACAGGATGTAGCACACTCTCGGCCCCAGGGGCCCCAAGCAGACTGCACCACCTGATTAAGACTCCTCCTGTAATCAGCCGCACAGTGCCACACCGAAACTACTCCCGTCAACACGTAAAAAAATAAGAAAGGTTCCACCTCCTGAAAGATAACACTTTGTTTGTCGCTGGAGAAGAAGTGAGATGAGGGGCCATCTTGAACTTTTTTTTTTTTTTTTTTTAACTAAGCTGATACCTTTCTCTCTCTAGGGCTTAAAGGCTCTTATGTATCAGTAGCAGCAGAAAAAGTAGAAAAGCAAAAGGTCTTAAACCTAATAAAGTTTTCCGCTGCCTTACCAAGGTAAACCCAGGCAGCTCTAACCCTATTACGGCTGGTAATAGTATTACAGATAGAAATCTCATTGTTTTCCTCCTATTGAGACTAAAAGACGGACGGCCTGCGCTGTATCACATGATTGAGGTGAGAAGGAATTTGAATGATGTCAGAGAGCGCGTGCCACAGCCAGAATCAATATGGTAACAGCATAGCAGGGGTAGCAAATAGGTGCCAAAGCAAGCGGGAGAACTAAAAGTAGGATATCAGATGTTCTGTAGGGTAAACATTCACTTTTACATTTACTCTGTTTGATAAATAACAAAATGTCAAATGTTCATATCTAAATAATTATCACTGACATTATTGAATTAACCAGTTTAGCTGATGCCATCAACCCAATACAGACAAAGAGTCTAGAGTCATGTCTCGATTCTTAATGTCAGCTGTGTGATAACAGGGTCAACTGTCTGCTAAAGTTGTGTCAGGAAGTTCAACCGGTCAGAGACCTGCATTGACATAACATCCAATAGACTTCTAATGCGAGTTCTAAGCAGCCTAAATAATGAGGTAGACGGCAAGGAAAGAAAACCGCTGTCTCGCTCATACAAAGCAGATGACGGTGGTACAGAGATGAGCTACAAATTACAGTATATCTGCATTACCAATAAATTGCAAAACAACAACACAAAAGTCTTCCTGGAAAAATTAGTTGATAGTCAGAATCAAAGTGAGAACTATGACAGAGAACTAGAGAGTGCAGTGTGTGTCTGATTGTCTTTTAAAAGGGAATACTTCATCCAAAAAATGATCGTTTGTCTCACCTTGAATTTGTGAAAAGAACTGTTTTCTTGGATACCTTCACGGAGAACAAGGACTGCCAAAATTCTTGATGAATTAAAGTAAAGGGGTCCGCATTTAACAACAGCAAAACTGTATCAAAACATCTGTTTTCAAACTTGCACGCAGTTCATGCAGTAAAGTCCAAGTTTCATTTATCCACTTGTATGCTCAGTACTTCCCAAACAATGCATTTTCGCTCAAATCATACTATTTAAAACAAGTCTGTAGACAAGGAACGCAAGACAGGTGTTTGGGACATACAAAGCATAAGACTGGATAAATGTGAGAAAAATAAAGTTTTCATCATCACGAATTCAAGGTAACATGGCGAGTAATTGATTTACAAGTGATCATTTTGTGAGTGACGTATTCCTTTAAAAATGAGTAATCCAAACCTATATGACTGAAACTATAAATTATAATAGTAAAAACATGAACACAGCATGTCTGACATGTGACAAAAACATGATACATAAAACTAAAGCACAAATACTTGCCTGTTCTTGTCCAGTAATGTTGCTTTTCACACTGATGTGAAATGTATTGTTATGTGTATATGTCTGAAGTATGGCTTCAGATCAGTGTGGCTATCCAGTCTGTCAATTGCAATCCTGTCAGTAATGTAATGATGAGGGGGACTCATCAGGCATGGTAAATAATAAGTGAGCCGGCCTGGTGCTGGTGGAAACCCCGGGCCTGGTTCCAAGACAGTTCAGGCCTCATCGAACCCTGGGCCTGTTCCAAATTGATGCTAATATGGTCTGGGCTGCTACGGTAGAGTAAAAATGAGCGTTATTGATACCATGGATCTACAGTTCTTCATCTGTGGTAAAGAATATGAAAAAAGGAAAAAGAAGAAAAGGAAACATGTCTGTGTGTGTAAGGGCACGTGCATGAGTGCATTTGTATATTAGTGCGTGTCTATGCATGGTCATGCTCCCTAATGTATGTGTGCGTAGTGTAAACATCGTTGCCTGTGGGTGTGTTAGGCATTTCACTGTGCTCACATTTATATCTGTCTGTGTTTTCCCTTTCCCTTCCTGCTGATGCCATCAGTACACACTTTGTGACTGATGACAGTGGTTGCCACAGTCTGATGCTCTGCTGCTTAATGTCCTTTTTGTTTATTAATTAACTGCAGGACATATATGCTGAGAGACACCTATTGATTCTACTGCTGCATTAATTGATTTTGTGCTTCACTAATCATATTGTTGCTGCAAGATCATTACTAGGCCTCTGTGCTCTCTTTGTGGTGGAGGGGTTGTGTGTTGATATACTGTGCTGTTCTTAGTTTTGTGGGCAAAGTGATGAGTGCAGTTTGTCATTTCCAATGGATATCTTTCTATTTTTATTAGGTGATAGTGTACCGAGTGTAAGAGGGGGGCAGAGGGGTAAGTCACAAGTAGGTTCTGACAGTCAGGGCCTGTGGCTAAAGTTCAGGTTGCAGGTCCTGAAGTAGTCACTCATAATGCATCATTTGGCAAAATGGATGCCATTTCTAAATGGAAACAACACAAAAATAGTTTGTAGTATGTTTTATGAATTGTTTTGAAAGTAAGTGCCACTAAAGTTAGAAATTCATAACCAGGGTTCCCGTGGATAAAAAGTCCTAAAAGGCATTGAATTAATTTATCTAAAAAATAAAGCCATAACTATTAAAATGTCTTAAATCTTACATCTTTTTTTCATTGCATTGTAAAATCTCAAAATAATTGCTAACAAATAATTGTATTTTTTGTTTATTTATTTTTCAAATAATTAACGGATTGCCTTTCGCATTATTGTGTCATGCAGATCACGATAGTGGAACCAGCAGCACTGTTCATGCTCACAGCAGAGGATGCACAGTCTGCTAGCTAGCCATCACTGTACCTCGGATGACACGGGGAAAGAGCAAATTCAGCAGAAATCGGCTATTTAACCAAGATTTCACAGCATGATTGAAATCAGTACAAGGCAATGCCCAGTGTGTTTTCTCCAAAACAAAATTTCAAACTTGTCGTGATGAAAATCAAGGCAATGAATCCCACATGCAGAGTGAGAAACACAAATTCGCCAAGTCATGTTTTGTGTTACAATTAACATTAGGGCAAAATTGTCCCTAATCCTATGTAATTGATGTCAGTTCTCTTTTTTTTCCTTTTTCATTATAGTTATTGTAAAATAGATCTTAAATTTCATTCAGAGTGGCATTAAAACATCTTTAAAAGTCTTAAATCAAACTTACTTTAAGCTGTAGGAACCCTGATAACAATAAAAAATAGTGAAAACTTTAGCTGGATTTTAAAAAGAATTAAAAAAAAGTCAACCTGCGTTACACAGTAGAAAACAGGCAGCCAAACTCTTGACAGCTAAGAAAAGGTGAGAGTGTCCTCTGATATAAAACACTACTCTTCTATCATTGAAACAAACAGATTCTGGTGTTTGTGTGTATCTGACTGCCAGAGGTTCCCTAGTGAGTCTGACCGGGGGTTACAGTGTAACCACAGCGTCTGTCTCCTGCTCACCACCCAGATCAGCCGGTTCAGCTTGACTGGGCCCAGTTGTCTTGGTTTCATACTGACGACTGTCTGGGAAAGGTCTGTCTGGGGTTCAAGTACATTAAAGTCATCCGCTCCCCTCCCACTGAGCACCAACACAGATGGCTCCAGATGCAGCTGGCACAGCATGCAGCAGCACCTGACAGTGCTCATTCACTCAGACACACACACACACACAAAAATACACATATACAAGTATAAACACATGCAGACACACAAGCATGTGCACAAACTCAGGTATGGACACATCTGCTCACTTTCTGCACCTAAATGCAAGTGAAATTACACACACAAACACACTGACGGAAGCACACACTCACACCTATAAATACATAGACACACACACTCACAGCAGGAACATATGCTGCCACGCATCTACAAATCCTCACAGTAGCGCACATATGAATAAGCAATTAAAGACCCAGATTACTGCGTGGTGCTCACACACACACTCAAATGTAAACCCACACATATTGTGCTCACTTTCAAACATATGCCAGGGCATGCCGGTGTGCACATGAGCACAGTGCAGAAAGCCCTTTATCTCTGCAGGAGCGAGCAGGAAAGAGAGGAGCAGGACAGCTGAGAGAAGTCAAATTGAGCAGCCTCGCCATTTGTAACAGAGAAAGAGATGTAAATTGAGGACAACGCATTCTATTGTACTACGTGAGACGCTATGGTTATTAAGCCTTTGTGTTTGAATAGAGTTTTTACACAGACCCACTCACCGATGAGAGATTGCATTGCCAGGCAGTCGTACATGATGGTAAATGAAACATGAAACACAGTAGATTTTTGGCTGCTGAAAGAAATATGCTGTGTGCCTTTTTTTTAACAATATTTCCTCCTCACTGACAGCCATTTGAGCCAAGATGAATTGCCAGTTGCCGGTGTCATATATAACCTTACACAGCAGATATTATAACGGAACTTTACAGAGATGCACTTAAATTATGATTCTGCGGAGGTGATATACAAGTCCTCTCTGACAAATTTAACAACCGTGTTTACATTCTGGAATGGCAGGGCAGTATGAATTTGGATGAGATGATACATCTGAGTCACTTGCCGGTGCCACACAAAATAGAAAAATCGCTTTTTCCCCAAAATTGAAATACCACGATCAGGCATGTGTCTTTATTTAACTATTCTATCCATGAGCAATGAAGTCATCGGGATTAAACTTTTATTTAATCCTGTCGCTGACACTGTGTCATTATTTCGCTTGCAGGGACAACTTGGACTTGGGGAGGACCGAATTCATATCTCCTCTCCTCGTCTTCTCAGCTGTTCTCAGCTGGCTGAGGTCACACGGATACAAGCAGGGGACAGCTACAGTGCAGCAGTCACAGGTGAGCTGAGCATCTAACCTGCTGTCGTACCCCACAGAGGTGGTAACATCGCTTCCTCAGTTGTATTATTTTAGCCTAAAATTGTACACAGTACAAAAGTACACAGGGACCCACACTCATGGAAACCTGAAAAGGACAGTTCTAAAGTCTTGTTTTCCAGGCTTGGAAAAGTCATGGAATGAGTAAAATCCTTTAAGGTTTTGGAAAATGAGGGAAATTCGTGTGTAATGGTGAATGGTAAATGGACTGCACTTGTATAGCGCCTTTCTAGTCCTCCGACCACTCTGTGCTTTTACACTACTGAATCACATTCACCCATTCACACACACATTCACACACAGGTGGCTACCATTCAAGGTGCCACCTGCTATTCGATAACCATTCACACGCTCTCACACACCGATGGAACAGCCATTGGGAGCAGTTTGGGGTTCAGTTTCTTGCCCAACATGTGGACAGGAGGAACCGGTGATTGAACCGCCGATCTTCCAATTGGCGGACGACCTGAGCCACAGCCACAGGAGGGCCGATTGTTACAGTAATCGTCTGTGGATAACCTTTCATGTCATGTAACATGACGGCAAATGCATTTTCTGTAGCGGTAATGTAGCTTTAATATGCGTCAGTGTGTGACGTTTTGTTCACCATCATGTACGTTTCTTTCTCCCCACGTCCTGTCTCTCTGTCATGTACGCCAGCTAGCTGGAATTTGGTTCAAGTTTCAATCTGATATATTTGAATAACATGAGGCGAGCTGGGCATGAAAAATAATGTAACAGTGTGAATTTAATAGGTAGGGTCATGAATACCAAAGTCTCCATACCTAACCCCCACTGATACTTTTAAATTGTATGGTATTTTTGAGATAGAGCAATTGACATGGGCAGCCAAGGGCACTCAGCTGTCACTCAGAGGGTCAATGCACATGTTTTAACCACTATGAAAGTAGAGCATGGTAGTTCTTAAGGTTTTCTTTTTTTTCCAAACACATTAACTAACCAGCCAAGGAAACTGCTGGCTGACACTCCCCCTCCCTGGGAGCGCTACTGCTCTGTGCCTGCAAACCGCCCATGATAATACAATTAACACTGGGAGTAAAGTGTACTATACAGTTTGTTCGTGTTATTCGTTTTGAATGGTCATGGAAAATGTATTAGGGGTCCTTGAAAAGTCATGGAAAAGTTTTAAAAATGTGTCCATAAAAATGTGTGGGAACCCTGAGTACAACAAAGTAACACAGCTTAGCTCAAACCTCCAACAGGTTGATTGCCACTGCACATATCTCTCATTGTGATCTCTTTAAAAGATTCTTAAAAGTTGTATTCACTCTACATAGTATAATAACAACTTAATAAATTGGAATCCTTATTTTCCCAGCAGTATCCTTCACTGTGGCTTTCAGCCATGCTAATTTTTCATCTACATCATTTCATTGAGTTTTAATTAACACTACAAGGATTCAGTGTCCTCAAATGACATCACTCGGAGCACAAATTCAACCTCATTAGCTCTCAATATCTCTTAAACCAAGCAAAATAAAACCAAGTTTTAGTGTTGTATGATAGATGATGTACATAATGAATTGATTTGTTGTTCAACCAGCTATCCCCTAAACTACCCCGTGAGGATCTCAGACTATCCCTGTAGCTACTTTATTATTAATAAGACCGAGAGATAAGGAGGCGCACCATCCCTTTACACCAGCTTTTCCACTAGCTTGGCTGTCTCTCCTGTAATTCTTAAAAAGCCAAACTCAAAGCCCTTTTTGCTGACTAAATTTAAAAACAGGTAGTATCAGATTGTCCCTTTTTTTTTACCTTTCTCTCTTTTTATCCTCTAACTTGTATGATTTTCAGCAATCTGATTCATCTCCCCTCTGCGTCCCCTCTGAGTCATTGAACTGCCAAGAAACTACCGCTAATACATTTACACCATTACAAGGTGTCAGGCAACTACTTCTCCTTCAATTGCTGCTTGCCTTCTGCCAGACAGCTGGAATTAAAGTGGTTACACTACAAATGTAACATCAGCCACTTAAAGAGGAAAGGCATTGTGCTTATTTCAAGACCAGGGCACATTTACAGCCGACTGCTGTACTGCAATATTCTGTTAAAAGAATTGCCTATTGTTGAACAGAGACGTCTGCTGGCAATGTGTGCGTGCTCTCGCTGGAAATGCCACTGGTTCATTAAATAAACTGCAGTCAACATATTAAGTTTGGTCCCATTTAAATTCCTGGCGCATTGAATAGTATTTGGAGAGCGACGCCCTACCTGCCGGTGTTACAGTTATGCAGTTATGTCTTTAGGTGATCTATAAAATGTTATTATTTAAAACAAGCTCTTTATGGATTGGTTATGAGGCATGCTTAGCACATGATTGATCTGACCTTTCACAGACCGTCGTTCTTAGGGAAAACATCAGCCTTAACCTTTTTTAGCTGGATTACCCTGCCAACGTCTCCATACGTGTATGTGTCTGTGTTTGTCAGACTGTGTGTGTATGTACATGCATTTGTTAGTGGTGTAAGTGTGCATATTTGTGTTTGTGGTGAAACGCCATCTAGCAATGCCTGCCTTGTATGCTTTTATAAGATTTGCACCACTGAGATGAAAATAATACATTACTGATTGATTGATCAATCATGTCTGAAAGGGTATCAGCCTGTGTGTGTGTTTGTGTGTCTGTGTATGTGTGTGCCTGTGTGTGTGTGTGCGAGCGTGCCATGGCTTGATGCAGAATAGAGATTGATGGAGGCTTGCCGTGAGGAGGATACTCAGTTATCTCCTTGTAATTAAAATCCACCTCATAAAGATTATTGACTCCCCCACCACACAAACCAGCATGCTCCCTCGCTTGGCAGGGTTTGCAAAGCGCTTCTTAAAAAATGAAAAATAGCATATTAAGCAGCACATATTTCCCATTTATGCGGAACATTTAGATGTGGTTAAGTTATCGTAATGTGCAATAAAACCTGGATGTGAAATTTGTAATCCACTTTGGAAAATTGCTTACTATATTGCTTTAACATCCCCTGAAAGAGCTTTTGAGATGTGTGTGCCAGGTTTATTGTACGCTATAATTTAAAAGTCCTCAATGCAGGCAGTAAATATAAATTTATTAGTGGCAGGTTTAAATAGGCAGACTGAGGTAGCATGAGTGAGTGGATGCTTGAGTGTTTGCTGTATGTGAGTACATACAGTGTGTGTGTGTCTCTGTGTGTGTGTATGTGTGTGTGAGATAAGTGCCAACTGTGAATGTGTTTCGTCTGCTTGGCACACCACGAAGACAGGTGAGTGGGTGTGTGGTGTGGGTGGGGTTACTGTCTCAAGACAGTGCTGTACATCAACACCCTCTCTAAACTAAACCAAACTGACAGGATGTAAATCGTAGTTCCATTTAATTGTTTCTCATTAGGGTTCATTGTTTCTTTTTGAATTTGGAGGAAAGCAGAGTTGTAAGGTTCAGGATCAAGGTCATCAGTGGTAGACTGGGGTGTGATTTCCTCCTGGCCCCAGGGCTACTAATTTCTAGCATGCTACAGACATTACATCAGTGTGAGAAAGTAGTAACTCTCTAAACAGCTAAGAAATTCATAGCGGGTAAAGCATTTGGAAGGTAAAATTTTCCGGTATCAGTGAGACTGTGCAACAACGTCTCATCCACCATCGCCTCAAGCATTGTTGTTGCTGAGTCCGAGGCCCTGATGAGTTGGCACTTGGGTCTGTCGCCGAGAACCAAGTCAAGTACATCAGAATGGGGATTTCTCCGTGGCCGACCATTGCCACTTCGCCAAAGTCCCTCTTTTGGTTACTGTACTCGCGTCGCATATGCTCAAACACTGGTTTCGTTTGTGAAGCTCCCCCGAGTTTATTTTGAATTTCTTCCATGGATCACCATGGAAGGAGACATCCATACTAAAGATCTGTTTTTTAAACATGGTGGTTACAGTGTTTTAGTTGGTCTTGTTGGTAACAATAATCTTGACCTCAACCCCTGACATAAGCAGTTCTCAGTTCTAGACCAGCAAAGTATCTGTGCCAATCTGGAACCAGTTTTCCTGGCCGAGTGTTGGTTGTTTGGCTGTCAAAATGTGAAGAACTGGTCGGAGGTTAGGCACCGGCTCTGATCCAGGCCTCAAACTGCCTTGGTCGAAAAGCAGTAGAATGAAGAGAGACACTTCTGGCACTTAGCTGTGTTTTTCCAGTATGACAATAAAATGTCTTTTTTTTAACAGTGCCATGTCCCATATGATCAGCGACATACAGTCACAGTCTAGTGTTACATTGGAGCAGGTCAGGAACATATGAACATGCCCTCATGAGGCTCATTTTACTTCCCATAGTTGAGATAAAAGTTTTGACATAAAATATCTTGCAAGGTGACATTGTGTTTATGTCTGATGTATCTGTCTGAACATCTCGCCCCTTTGTTCGAATCTCCAGGAGGAGGAGAGCTGCTTCTCTGGGGTCAGATCCCGTGTGCATCCCGGATCAGTGATCATCCAGGCCTCAAAAAGCTCTGGACCCCGCGGCCTGTTCCACTGGCAGGCGAAAAGGTGTGTATGAGAAAAGACTGGACAAATTATGTTTTCAGACTCCTCAAGTCTCAAGTAGATGAAAGCCCCAGGATTTTCAGAGTATATGAGTTTTAGCTGGATATGCATAAATTCTTAAAGGGTCCACACTGAATCGCATATGGCTGAAAGCTGAGTCTGCACTGCTGTCTGTGGGTTAGTATGTAGCGCTCCTGAACGCACCCTGATCGATGATGTCACAGCAGAATTTCACAGCTGATAAAAACGTCACAGATCGGGGTGTAGCCAAAAGTGCAAAATGCTAGAAATAAACTTTAAAAAGTCTAATGACATTGAGACCTACAGAGAGTTGTCATCTAAAACTTGATACAATTTGTGCTTTAAAATGTTGCACTGCTCTGAAGTTTAAAGACTATTTTCATTTTATGCAGGTGTGTGATGTGGCCTGTGGTACCTGGCACATGATGGCCCTCACCACAAGTGAGTAATCTATCCCTAAATGTTCATATCTCTCTGATTAATTGTTTTCGGGGCAATGAGAGTGCATCACCGAAGGTACACCAGTCAGATTCAGGTTTTGCATCTTATTACTCGCCCCTGTTCCTTCCAATCTCGTGTCTCTTCCTCTTCTCCAAATGATGTCTTGCTCCTCCTCAAAGCCCCTCCTCACTCACTTTCTCACTCATCAAACCATAATTCACTTCAGAGGGAAGCATCATTAATGCACAGTAGGACACAGCAGCTTGATGTGTGCTAATTATATTGTGTGTTTTACACGCTGGATGACTTTTGCTTAGTCAGTGATGAGCTCAGTCTCTGGTAATTGTTTTTTGGATGTGATGAGTTTATAAAAGCCGTCTGTGGGTGGGTGTGTATCTGGGCGTGTAATGTATGTGTGTTTGTCCGTACATGTATGTGTGAGTGAACTTGTGGATGGTGACAGCATGGGGACTCTCACATTTCTATGTGCTTGTGCATGTGAAGTCTTGCATTAAGGCTGGGTGCATACATGTATACAAAATGCAGTGTTTTTATAAGTAGCCAGAAAGACGAGATTATTCCACAGCTCCACACATCACACGCTTCTCTGAACTTAATAATGATTACCAAACACTCAAAATCTCAAGATCGTTCTGACACATTTAAACTGCATGCAACTCCAAACTACATCAATCCCATAGAAAACTTTGACATGCACCATCAACCGTGGCATTGCACTCCATGACTTGCTTGCATTCTCTACAACCCATGTGATCCTTTTAGCACTGTACATCACTCAATGCTGTTGCTGCTCAGCCTTTGGCTAATCACGCTGATTGGAGGTGTCCTTTGGCTCACCTGGGGGCTTCCAATCCTATTAGGCCAACCGTCCTGAGCCTAGCGCAACCAGCAGCCGCTCGTGTTTGATCACTGGTGCTTAGAGCCCACACTTGTCCTCTTATGTTGGTATTAAGGCATGGAGGAGAGGAGCGGCAGGGTGGGGTTTGGTGGGGGGGGGGTTAAAATGTGATCTCCTTAACTCTCTAGGGGGTTAGAGGGGAGTTTGGTGCCTCACCTCCCTCGCTGACACTCCTCTGCTCCTCCAACTGGAGCTGGTCTTTAAACTTCTGATGTCAGTTGAAAGGCGGAACACTGCAAGTTGTTTTCAAGCAAAAAGGGAAGAAGTGAAGGGAACTGGAGAGTGAAAGATTGAGAGAGGGGGACTAAGAAGAGGAGCTGAAAGGGTGTGTTTTCACTCTTTCTTTAAGTATAAGTTGTTTAGAGGATCACTCAAACCTCTCACATCCCTCTCTTTTTCATTTTTCCTCTCCTTTCTTAATCTTTCTTTCACTTTCTCTCCATGTTGTCTGGCTGAGAAGGCACAGAAAGTCTGTCACCTATTTAGAAGTCAATACACCTGATCCAACCAGACCTGTCACCCCTTTCTACCCTCTTCCTATCTCTACCACATATTCTGCCTCCTCCCCTATCACTCCTTCTCTCAACCTTCTTCCTGGCTGCTATATTCTCCCTCGCTGCACACCCATCACTATGTCTCTCTTGTGGCTCTCCTTCTTCCTCCCCTCCGCCCCTTTTGCCCCCTTCCTCCTCCTCCTCCTTCTTCCTCGGGCCAAGAGCACCCAGGAAGAGCCATGTGTTTCCAAAGTGGACTGGATGGGAAATCGAAGCAGGGCTTCTGTGTTTATCAAGCCACAGCTCCGTCACCTTGCTCCTACTCCCGTCTAGAGGCCCCGGCAAATTGGTGACAGCAGCAACTACCCTCTAGCGCACATGCCCCCACCTTTTTCTTTTTCCTCATGTGCGCGTCCGCACACACTCACTTACAAACACAGCATAGCACCTTGGCCTGTTTAGTTTTATTGCTGGTGTCAGGTGAGGAGGTGGAGGTAGGAGTGCTGTCTAATGTTCACCTCACACACACACATACACACACCAGCACACTCACACACAGTCATTTCCACCCCTGCCGACACCTTGGCTAACAAGACCTGTGAACCGCAGTGACAGAACTCTGAGACTTGTCAGAGTCCCAGTCATTTAATGCCAAGACCCGGCCCCAGCTCTAACCCAACAGGGTTTCTGTATGCACACTAAGCCACAATAGGCTTCACAGTGATATACTGAACATGAGTCTACTGAATACCACTGCTCCTCCAGGTTCATATTGTTTAAGTTCTATCTTCACTGCAGTCATCTACTGTAATGTTTTCTACAAAATACATTACTTACAAAGAGTAATATTAGAGTTATTTGAGGTTGAAGAGGAGATGAAGTGTGTGTGTCTGATGTGACTTGGTTCAGTTTAACTTTACACTCATTATGTTGATCTGCACCGTCACTCATGACTTCTTTCATCTATAAATGTTTGAATGTATGCTATTACTCTCGTCTGTCTACTTGGGCGTGTAACAGTACACTTATGTGTCTGTAAACCTGCTGCATCTGCGGGCATCTTTATCTGAAGCATCTAATAGTCATGAGTCATTACAAGTAGTTTTGCATGGACCACTGCCCCTTTTGGTGCATGTGTACAGGATGCTTGCTGCTCAATGCCCCCTCTTTTCTGTTTTGCTGTGATCACATAAGTGGAGGAGAAAAGAGAGTTGACTCGGGTTAGAGCCCCGCACGGCCTTGCTACCTTGGAAATGAACTGCACAAACAACGCCTGGCCATTGTGCCTAAGCGCTCACAATGATGCCATTTAAGAGAGTATTGATCCACCCCAGTGCAGGGTCAATCATTGGATCAATGGTGTGTGGGTTGGACGGCTGGAAGGCTGGTTGACTACATGAATGAATGGGTGGTTGGATAACGGATGAATGGATGGATAGATGATGGACGGACAGACGGATGGAAGGATATGAAGACTGACGCATGAGGAGACAGCGGCGTCAGGCCTGTCAAAACATGAACTTGAGTGGGTCTGAAGTTTTAATTGTCCGCCATCTTTTGTGTAGGGTTGTGTCCAGTCCGTGGTCATAACTTTTTATTTTAGACTTTTGCTGTAGTTGTTATTGAGGAGGGCACACAGCACTTAAGTGCACCCAATATGTATGCAAGCAAGCTACCTGCTACCTACTTCTCCTTACATATACACAAGCTTAACTTGACATCCCTCAAGGAGTTATACTGTATATATCCAGCTTTATTGTGGCATAGAAGAGTAGGTAAAATAGAGATATAAAATTAAAAAAGAGTCATTGTCATTAGCATGTTCTTGGTGGATTCTTGTGATGTGTTTACACCAGGGTTGATTGACCTAGTTACCCAGCCCTTGGCAGCACAACACGGAGAAATGTAACACAATGCAACACAAGGGAGAGGTGTAGATTCTTTTATTATTCTTACATTTGAGACACATGTGAGAGAACACATGTACTCACACACACACACACACACACACACACACACACACATACACAGAGCAGTGATCATCAGGGGCTCAGAGAGGTCGTGCCTCGTGACGAAGTGAAAAAAGGGAGAGGGCTCATTTAAAATTCTGTAAGAGATGTCAATTGTGCCCTCTGCATATTTCTATGGAAAATTTGTAAATAGATCCTTTGTAAATAGCTTCTCTCTTGCCAATCACCCTGTCTGCTCTCTGCACAGCAACATTAAAAATTGATCCTTAGCCGCACTAGGGTGAAATGCTAACATCGCTGCCAAATGACTGATTAAAAAGAAAAACCTTTAATCTTTGCTTAAAAGTGTCTACTGCCTTGGCATGCCTTTCCCCTGTGCTCCTCTATCTTCCAAGGCTGTGAAGGGAAGGAGGGGGTCGCCGTGGGGGAAACGGGGTCACGCTTCATGTAGAGTCAGAGCTGTACAGTGATATAGCTCTAGAGGTGAGGGATTTCACTAAGAGCAGATCTAGGAATCGACATGCATTGCTCTCTTCTGAATTTAACCTAAAGCCAAAGGTTAAAAACACATTTGAGCATTCCACGAGAGGGGGCAAATGTTTTGGCACTCCTTCTAATGGCTGGCAAAAAATCAGCTTTTTATCCAACTTAACCATGCAAGTTAAAAACAATCAGCAGGGTCGTATTGATAATGCAGCATAAGATAGTTTGCCTTCAGCTTTCTCAGTTGCACAGCAATAGAAATCGACCCACTCTCTCCTGCTCTCTCTTCACACAATGTTTAAATAGCGACATGGCAACTGAAAAGTCATGACATAAAGAACCACGAGCAATAGATTGGATTAAAGGAGACAATAAAAGGCCTTCAAAGTGTTGATTGGAGGTGCTGAGAGGTGTGTTTGTGTTTCAGGGAGCAGAGAGGAGAACAGAGAATGTGCTCGCTCAGAAACTGAAGCTCGCTTCGAAGACCTTGTCAGCAATCCCCCACCGACGGAGCACACAGAGAAAGAAAACACAGCGCAAGTAAGATAAACATACCTCCTCTTTCTTGCTCTATAGCCCTTTTATTGACTTACTTGCATACTGTATAGCTCAATCTGTAACTCACTTGCTAACTCGACAGCCCCCTAACTCTTTCAGTGGATTGCTCCTGATTGATATCTTCCTCTTCCACACTCCCTGCCTGCCTTGTTGACATCCTCATTCCCACGCACCCATTGTTTGCTTCTCAAATTCTCTTCCATTCATTGTTTCAGTTTCTTTATACATGCTGTGAATCAACATATCAGCAATGAATGATACAATATAACAAGTTGCACTTGAGTAAACAGCACAGGCCTTACTGCATTAAGTGGCGAATATATTCACCTCTCCGAATATCAGTGAGGACCACTAAACTGTCACCCAGAGCCACACACACACACTCACAACCTCCCGTCCCTCCCAGTCTCTCTGTCATTCAGGTGTTTACTGTCATTCATACTCAGGGTTTTTGTATAATCCTCTCACCACACCTGAGTGCTCCCCACTCAGTGTCACTGGATTTACTCCCCCCCTCCCTCTCTCTCACACACACACTTTCCCTCTCCTCCAGCGCACAGCCTTTTTCATTTTGCATCAGAGCCATTCTTTTACGCACGTTGTCATTTCTTATGTAAATAACCATAGATAAAAAGACAGTAACAGACATTTTAAGATTTACACACACCGCTCGGCGCGTATGTTTTCAGTCATCCCCTCTCATCAGCCAGTTTGTTTGTAGAAGTGTCTTTGCCTGTAGCCATAAATTAGGGGTTGTGATTTAACTCATTGAGACAACAGAGAAAGACAACGAAATATGAATAAAACAAATGATGTGGAGAAGGTAAGGGAGAGAGGGAGAGTGAGGAGAGGAGGGTGAACTGAAGGCAGAAATGGGCCAGTATGTATTTCTGCTCTACTTTCACTTGGGGAAGGCTTCATTAAGAAGTCTGTTTCCAGAGCATAGTGGAATCTATGTGTGTGTGCACGTGCATGTGCGTGCGTGCACAGGAGTGTGCGTATATGTTCATAGGTTAATGCGTGAGATTGTGTCGATGCACATGCACGTTCATGCATACATGTGTGCATGCCCATAAAATTATTTGTGTGTGTTCAGTGAGAGCGGTCTCTTAAATTATTTACTCCCAGAACTCTCTAATTGGTATCAAGTTTTTAAATGGGGTCAAATGTTGCGGTGCAGTTTCATGCAGCTTTTCTCTTGCCTTAAGTCTGTATCATTACATCTGGTGCTACAGTGCTGCTACTTCGTTGGACTTGAACCTCTAAATGCTGTATTTGGCTATTGACTGAGGCTCTGCTCTCGGACTGGAGAAACACACCGCACCGGGCTGAGGCAGAGGATGGAATGTAGTTTTATTACGGTGTTAGTCCATCTACTCATGTCTGTTGCACAGAAAACAGAGGTGCACACACATACACACACACACACACACACACACACACAGCCTAAGGCAGCTCACAGAGCTGGTATTAGATTTAAGCCCCCTAATAAAGCCAATTAGAATTACACTGTGCACTGGTGAAGACAACCTTACCAGGGCATTTCTCTCACCTCCACATGTACACATGCAACATGCATATACACACATACATGCATTGTAACTACTGTACCACTGGAGGGGATAAACATTGGACACAGTAGGTCCAGTGTTGGATATGTTCCTTAAAAAGCTTAATCAGTTACTCAGTTATATTTGTGTCAGTTATTCAAAAGCAAAAGTAATTAGTTACATTGCTCATTATATTGGAGGTAGAAAAGGAGATAACAGTTTCACAAGCAGTCATCCAAAATTTTGGAGGGATATACTGACCATCAAACTGTAGCATAGCCCCAGTGACTGTACACAGCAGTCCAGAGGTCTCATCGTCACAGTCAAATCGTGGCATTCGCACACCCTCCAACTCCAAACAAAATCCAGCTTCCCGAATGTAGGCTCACCAGTGGCTGATGTTAGCGCAGCCCATAAATTAGAAATCTTTTTTAGTTACCAGGAGGTGCATTTCTTGTCACAGAAACAGGATTTTATTGCTACTGAGAGGCGCATTTCTCTTGTTTTGGTAGAGGCTAAGGGCCTCCGCAATCCTCCAGGACCGTGCCAAGCTAACACGTCCTGGACCTGTTTCTCCAGTGAACGCACAGGGAGGAAACTTATATCAGCCCTCCATCAAACTCCTGGTAAGACAGCAAACAGGCCAAACCTTAAATGGAACGTTAATGGGATGAGTGATTGTCATGTAATTACTCAATTTCAAACTGTAATCCCCTGTGGTTGAGATCACTGAAAACACATTTTTGTGAAATGTCACAACGCCTGCCTAGAAATTTACACAATGACTAAGTCACAGTGAGCATTAATGCTGTAAGCTTTGATGGCAAAGTAGAGGTTTGGTTCTCAGATACGCATTTTAAGTGAATTGGTTTAAAGTTTACAAATCAGCCCACGGCTGCAGTTTATCACAGATTATATCGTTTGGTATAGTTAAATACCTGCTTTGAAATGTCATCTGTCATCTGCTCTGACTGCACAGTTAGGCTGCTTGCGTTACAATTAGAACAACCTAAAAAGATATTGTGTATCCTCTTGACAGGACACCAGACAGGTTCACCACAAGCTGCTTCACGGTCTAGAGAGACCAGAGGGCTCTGAGGAGCAGGCGAAGGATGAAGAAAGTGAGAGTGCTGAGGAAGAAGAAAGACATGAAGAAAGACCAAACAAAGATGAGAGAGATGGAGCGTTACACGATTCAGCATCTGCCATTGCCAGGTCTTCAACGGGGATGGACAGGAGAGGAAATGGCCGCTCATCAATCAAATCTGACCAAGGGGATGAGAGAGAGACTTACAGGACAGCGGGGCCATGGGAGTCGATGAAAGAGCCACGTAGAAGCAGAGATGTAGTCTTCACCACTTTGTATGTTTTACCCAGGTCAGAGGGAGAGCAGTGCAGGCCCGCTGCCAGCAGCTTACCCTGGCTACTGACGGGACAACAAGCTCATGGCAGAGTTTTAGATGAGGCTCAGAAGGTGAGTGTTAATGGAGTTATCACAAAGAAAAATTCTTAATGGGTAAGCTTGTCACTGGTGTGTTTCATTCAACCCCTCTAAGGGAAACCATCATCTGGGTTTGCAAGTATTTTTTTTTTTTCTTTCACCACTTTGTTTCACTTAGTACAATCCAAAGATCGCTGTTGCTTTGTTTAGACAGCAGAGAGTGAATGGAAACATCCAGATGACCCGGTGACGTCACTGGGCTGCTGGCCCTCAACCCCTTATTTGTTATACTTACTATGAATGTCCGTTCCACAACATGCCTGAGAGAGCTAAGTGGTTTTGTACTCCGAGAGGCAGTATTGAATCACTTTGGCTGAGATTAAAGATGCAAGTATACATTAACTGGTTGGCAGGCTTGAGGTGTGACTTTAGTAATGGACTGCTGCAAGAACAGTAATTTACAAACAGTAAGCACTTAACAATGAAGTTAAAAAGCCTTTATATTCCCTTGAGACGGATCGAGGGAAGAAAAAGGAATCGTCTTCTTAGAGAACATTGATATATTGTGTAATCATGAAGATGAGGTCTTTAATTTATTTATTTATTCATCAAGATAGGACTTTCCCTTTTGAGTCTGGAAGTTTGCTTTAACAGTATAGCCTCGGGTAATTTCCCCAGCAACTTTGAAGTCAAATTCTCAGGACAAAGTAGGCTGTTTTTACATCTTTTCTTTTCTCAAATGTCTTTGTCTCGTTAGGAGAGATCCGCACATCTGACCAAACTGGTCCAAAAGTCTGGAAGTTACAGCAGCATTTTGCAGAGTCCCAGGCTCAAACCCAAACCCAGACCTCCTCAGAGAACTCCAAGTCCCGCGGATCAGAGTGTAGCCTCTTGTCACCGTTCAAGAATTAGACCGCACTCTGGCCTCAGGTCTCCGATTTGCAATTCTTCACCCCATCTGAGCCCTGGACAGCATGCTCAGATGTCCTTCCCTTTCTTCCACCCAGGACCACAAGTTGAAACCTCTCTTTCTTCAACTCCTTCCTCTTCTGAACTATTCAGGTACTGTCCTACACACAGAAGAGTGGTTTCTTCCTTTAGCACTTCTCGGAAGAATCTATAAGAACCAAAGATCCAGGTCTGTCTGCCAGCAGAATTTATGTACAGTGTTTAAAATGTGTATTCATCATTTTATTTCAGGTTGTGTGAACTATTTGGAATCAAAATACGTTCATTGTGTAGCCACCCAGATAATAGACAGCTTATCCATAAAGTCATCAGCATCAAAAGCGTTTTTACCCAACAGCCTCCAGAAATGACAGGCCATACAGAGAGAATGTGCACTCTATTATCTACTTAATAATACTTTAGGCCGCATACAAAGCTAAATACTTGTGGCTCCAAGGTGACTGACAAAATGTCTCTTTTGCTCTGTAAGAGCCCTCCAAAGCAGACTCCAGATCAGCATTAATGGGCTCCACTTTACCCCACACTGTGATTTGGCAAATATACTCCTCTTACAAACCATCTCAGTCAACGATACTCATGAACCTTGACCTCATCTGAAAGCATTAGACTTTGGTCTTCCAGTGAAAGCTGCATGTAGGAGCTGCGGAGGCCTTGAATCAGCACATTTTAACATAACTTCAGAGGGTTGAGTATTTGCTTCTTCTTTTCTTTTTTACCCTACGCATTACTACATACTACCAAGCTGCATTCGTTTTAGTACTTACAGTATGTTGTTTATTAAGGACAAAGTGCCCTCTCAGATCTTGGCCTCTTGTAAGACATTTCACGGTGGAGTGTTTTCATGGCGTCTCTGCAGTATGAATCACATGTGCATGCTACTATGCCTCTTTTGAGTGTGAGGAGTTATTGCAGAGATAAAACTATATGATGAGGTTTCTTAAAGTAAAGCAGCATTGTTACAGGAAACATAGCTTCCTTTGATTCTGCTTTGCTCTTTTTTGTGTTATTTGTTATGTTTCTTAAACAGAGGTCCTTCGTTAGCTTTGCAGTGTATGCAAACTGGTTCTCTGCCACAGTGCAGACCACAACCACATGGTAATTCCTCTGATCAGGGTTTCATTATAAGTGGCGCATGCAATGTTTTTTTCATTATCCACAGTACATTTAACATAAGGGACCTTTTGTCAATAACTTGGCAACATGTTGGCAGCGTTGGGGTAGACACATCACTCAGTAGCCAATGTATCCAAATGAATACCACTAGTAATGCCGTAATCATTTTGAGCACTGATGTTACGAATCACAGTTGCTATTACTTCTGTTTTCTTTCACCAGTCATTTCACTTATACAAGGAATACATATGGACAGCAAAGCTATTTATTACCTTGACCCAAGTTTTTAAAGGTAAAAAAGGATGCTAATGTTGAGTTTGTGAACCTAAGCAAAGGTATTTAAAAGGGTATTGACTTGCTGCTCCAGGAGGGTCAAACAATAAATGTACTTTTAAATTGAGTCTCAGATTTGCTTTTGTGAGCACCGAACACAACATTGACTACATACAGGCATGCAATACTGATGGCATTGAGACATCCGCCCTCATTCCACCCCATTGTCTCCCGCACTCCCTATAGTTTGTTTTGGTGTGTGTGAGTAAGTGTTGGTTGTGTGTATCACGTCTTTGCCCTGCGAGACTCCTGCCAATCGATTCAAGGTGAGACCTGTCGATTAAACACCCTGAGCCGTGCTCTCTACCTAACCCCAGGGTGATTCAATCCCACCTCTTGCACACACCCGTACACAAACACACGTACGCACACACACCCGCCTCACCTGTCATCCATCAATATCTCCATCTGGGCCTCTATTGATCCCCTCCATCCATCCTCTTCACCCCGTGCAGTACAACATCAGGGCCAAGACGACGTCCGCGCAGGTTTAATTTCTGACAGATTTACAATAAAGCTCAAGTTATTATTTAACTCTTCCGGCCTCAGTGTGCTCTTTGATTTAGCACCCTGGGAGAGGATGAGTTACAGCTGACACAGAGAATCTGCCGGGGCTGGAATGGTAGGCACCCGGTTCATAACTCAGCCGCCGAATGTGTAGTTAGTCAATCACTTGATCTGTAATCACAAATGCTGCCAGAAATTACATGAGTGATGAGCTGTAATAAAAGCACTTACTTTTCCTGCTCTGTCTCTTAAGTGTTATTGGCAGACCCCTCTCTCCCAGGAGGCCGTGGCTGTGAAACAAAATCCCGATATAAACTGCCTCATTGGTCCCTGCCTCACGCTCTCTCTCTCTGGTGTACTGTATGTGTGTGTATGTGACTCTTCATGTGTGTATGTGTGTTAATGCAGAGTGCTCCCACTACAGTGTAATACAAAGCTCTTTTTGACAGTCTTTCTTCCACTCTTGGATTGCCTTGCTTCAGGACAAATGATCCTCACTCCAGTAAAGACAGTCATCCGCGTCTCTATCATTTATAATCTCTAATGTCTGCAGAGGTGCAGGAAAACACAATTCCCCAGCAATGACAGCTTTTAAACATACCTGGTACTATTAATTGGTCGGTAAATTGCATCCTATACATGTAGGTTTAAATGTTTTGCTATGCAGTAGTCTGTCGCTGCTGTTAAAACTTTCCCCACCTGGCTCTCATCTCGTCCCAGATGAGTTATGATGGATCACCGATATGACCTTATGTACAGGTAATCAAACATCTCAGTACCACGACGCAAACCTTTCTTCAACTGTCTGTGACTCCCAGCTCCATAACCTTTGGCAGGAGGTCATGCGTGACAGTTTTATTGATACGGACCTTCGTAATAATTACACAGCGTCTTGCATGCACTATTGATCAGGCCTATTGATAAAATCATATTTTACTGTAAAGGTCTGTTGATTTGATGCATTACAGCATAAATCTCTCCTCACAAGCAGCTGATTTGGAACTCCTACTGCCGAGTGATGGATGCTCCCGCAGATAAACACACACACATATATACACACAACTATTTATATCTATTGCCTGAATGGGGCGGTAACAGACACAGGTTAAAGACAGACAGAGATGTAATGATATCCGTATCTTTAGTCCATCCATATAAATATACGATCACATAGAGAAGACAAGTGGGATCCGCTATCCAGCCCAGCTCATATGGTGTAATATATATAAGCAAGGGTGTTTATGGAGTCACTGCTCCATCTTATCATGATTTGTATTGTCAGCAGGAGCTAAATCTGCATGGTGGTAATAGATTCTGATGTGGTTCATATGCCCTGTGGTGAATGGGAAATAGAGATGAATGTGACAGATCATACAGAACTTGTCCTGTATATAAACGGCCTTTAGAACTGTTGTTCTCACAGGGAGGGAGGGAGGGAGGGGAAGGATAGATGTTGGAATGGCTGGCGTGCAGGGAAATGTCATCGCTGGTATTAAAATGGCAAAAATTTGATCCTCAAAGCTGACCTCTGCAGTCGACGCAATGAAATTGATATGATTTCCTGAGGAGAAACATTCAATACTTTGGCTACTGCAGCTTTTCTGGCGTTAAAGAGGCTTTTGTCACATTGACGTTGCATGCGAGCTGAAACACAGACTAATGGAGAACTAGACAGAAAGTGTCAGGTAATATACACTAGTACCTGTGGTGTCACGCATTATCACCCTTTGATCTTAGCATGGAAAAACATAGTATGTGTAATAAAGGAAAAGAGCAAATTTATTACTATTGGAGGAAAGGAAAATTGGTCTTTATGGTTCAGGTTAAAAAGCAGCTTACTAGACCATGTTTCCGCTTTGGCCGGCAGTTCAAAAGCATGTTTTCTTTTTGGACTTTTCTCTGGCTGGATTCTGAACCACTTGGGGGTAGTTTGCAAAGGCTGTGGTGCACCAGTGACAGGCTGGTTTTCACATTTAAGGAGCCAAAGGGACATGGGGAACATGTCCATGTTCAAGAGGCCTACAAAAAATCTAAAAGCCGGGATATAGAGTTAATCGCTGGCCCAGTCAAGACCCCCCCTGAGCGGCTGCTTCTGCAAAATGCTGAACAGCCCATCTGGCCGCAGCACAGGAATGCTGTCCTGCAGAGGACAGCGGAGGGGAGATTGATTTTAATCAGCAGTGCTGTGTTTTATAAGCATAAAACCTGCTCCAACCTGAGCTCTCTGAAATGTCCTGGAATTCTGATGAGAATTGGTGTTGAGGTTTCTGTTGTTTTTTTATTTCTTATTCAAACCAAATGCATGGAAGCCCATTAAAGGAGAAAATAAAATAGAAAAACAGTCTTTACATGGCCTAGAAATAAATAGAAGTGGAGGAACATAATATTAAAAAAAGCATTTTGTCACATAACAGAAAAAAAAACACATACCATTTTCTCCTCAGTGTTTTTGTGAACAATTGAGGCCCGTACTTCTATAGTGTATGATTGATACAGTATGGAATCTATCCATAGCATACCGCTGACTTTGAACATACTCACTACTTTTGTAGCACAGCTGTTTGAAATGCTAATATAGAGCTTGTGAAATAGCAACAATACTGCCAGTGTGTTCCCCAGAGCTGGAGGGAGAAGGCAGAGCAAGACAAAGGCAGTTTTTAATCTGAGCAGGAAGCATACAGTGGCGATTCACTGTGACACGGTGATTGATATGAGTGAGTAGTGTATTTACCGAGTCTGACGGGATAGGAGAAAGAGAGTGTTTTCTTCCCATCCGTACGCTTATCTCCCTCCATAAATCACTGCCAATGGGATGCATAAATGTGGATGAGCGAGCGTTGTATTGTTCTGACTCTGGCAATTCCACTTTGACCTTTACATTTGGCATTGGTCACTGGTGCTAAATGCATGCCATGACCTTACCTGACCTTGGGCTATTCATATTTAATAGCCATGAAGGCTGATGTTTCGTCATACATACAGTATTTGAACACACACCACATAAACACACCCAGCAAACAGTGTGATCAAGCCAAACTGCATTTAACGCTATAATTTGTGTAATTTTTCCCTACGAAAACATCACATAGACAAAGAGACGATATAGTTGTGTTTTTCCCCTTCTCATCAGTCTGTGTCTTTATAGCTCTGATTCCATTACCCCTTTCCCAGCGGCAAGCTATGATGTCCTATGTCCACCCTAACCTTTGACTCCAGCCAGTGCTTTAAAGGTTCTGCACTTTGCCCTCTCCCATTTGACCTGTCTGAAGTATACCTTTATAATTGCCTCTGTCGCTATCAAATGCACATATGAGAGGGTGCAGGGGCAGGGGGCCGAAGTCTGTCCAGTAACCTTTTGGCCTCTTGTTCATCTATTCTGCTCAGAGCAAGCACAGCAGGCTTCCTCCCCCTACCCACAATCCCATACTGTATTAGTCTGCATGTCGGAGTTATTGATGGTGCTCTGGAAATATTTTATTGGTCAGTCACGACCTTTGACTGGGGCAATGCAAACACTAACCCCCCTAAAGCTTCCTATCGACATGGATATATATATATGATCAGATGGCTAATAGAAGTATAGATTTAGAGTGGCTGAAGAGCAAGTCATTTAGATTTTAACATGGTGAGGTCAGCATAGCTTTTTGCACTTATGTATGTGTCGGACCACTAGGCAAACTACATATTGAATTTGTTTTAATGTAACCTTTCCAGTGATGACAAGACATTTTAGAATTATGAACAGTAAAGACCAAAAAATATGTACAATAGAATAATATTATGTCACATACAAATGGATATTGAAACAGGGTTGCAGCAGTATGACGTGAAATCGTATACCACGGTATGAAAATTGACAATTATACCGTGCACATCTGCTTTTCTACAGTCTTAAAAAAAATGCAACCAGAATTTACTACTTTCTATTTTTTATACATGCTTCCATTTAAAAAAAATCAAGTTTCAATTATAATTAAGAAAAAATCTTTCTGTTTTCATTCCCTTAAGGATCATTGTAATGGATAATTATAATATAAGTTATTGTGTAATACTGTGAAACCATGATATTTTCTGAAATAGTTGCCATTGCAACCTTATTTTCAAATCACAAAAAAAATCCTTTTCTCGTACCCTCTGTCTTCTCCCTTTATTCCAAATACTGTAAGTCTCTTCATCAAAGGAAGTGTATCTTGTACTGAAGCACCCACAATTAAGATAAGCCCAACCACAGCTGGACAATTACCTGCCAACTAACCTTTTCTGGAGGCACTTAAGAATGTAAGGACCCCTGAGGATAGATGTGCCCTGAGTAGAGCGAGTACTTCAACAGGCCGGAGAAGGAGAGAGAGAGGGAGAAAGGGAGGGTGTAAGGTATGGGAATGCTGGGGTAGAGAAAAGGTGACAATGAGGAAGAAAAAAAAAGTGATAGAAATAGAGAAAAGGACAGTATCATGGTGAGATTACCTAATCCTCTGTCTGAGAGCAGTATTTGAAGGACCTGGTGGTGTCAGACATGAGGGG